GTATTCAGTAGAGTATATTTAAGTTAAAAATCAAACCTGCTGGTGGCGCCAGATGAAAAGTCAGGGAACCACAAAATCATAGTTTCATTCTCTGGAGACCATGAATGGCTGTGCAAAAATCGTACACACATCGTACTTCTATTGACCAAATTTCATTCCCATCCATAGAGCCACGCCACTCACACGGCTCAAAATCTACATCTATGCAAACTGTATTTAAAAAAAAAACACCAGGTCCCTCTTTCAAAACCGCTCCCTCTGTCCCTCGAGGTGGAAACATTAGTGATGTCTCTCAGGATGTTAGTAAGCATAACAGGCATACAGCACCAGGTTTTCCCCAGCATGATGCTCTACAGGCTTAATGCATTGCAATGCCATGTACAGACATGATTGATGTCAACACCTTCCTCTTAATCACCTGAGATGCATGCAGCCTCTTGACAGTCCGGCAGCCATTTTGGATTCTTCTCTAATGACTTGGGAAGACAGGTTGCAGATGATGTTAGCCGACGCCGGTCTCACGGATCACTACCAGTCTGTCAGTGATTAAGTGACTCATCTACCTCTAGTAAACAAACCCCCAGTAGAGCATCTTGCATCCATCAAAGGATGCCGTTGGCTCGCTCCGCTTATCTACCTTGGAAGGAATCCATCATACCTGTACACAACGGTGGATGCTGTGGTCTCTCGGGAGTCATCCTATAAACAAACGCATTGTGTTAAGACATGTGTAAAGGAAGCACTGTTCTTTTGACAGCAGAAAGGTATAGCATTCCCATATGCGTCTCGCTTCAGGGAAATGAAACTGAAGACTCTTGCAAGTTATTTAGTGACCTGATTTCTGGAGCTTCTACAACAAACTTGAAAAGTTGACAAAAAAAGAAAACTTTACAGTTTAAAATAAGTCTGTTTGGAAATGGTATATTTGTTTCAAAAAGTTGTATCTAAAGCCAGATTTTTTTTTATAGAACTGCTCAGAAAAATATAGTAATTAGAGACATTTGTAAAAATACAGCTGACAAACTGCTTTGAAAGCAGTTATGTTGCTTGAGACATACTATACACTTGAGGAAATCTTTTGTCACCCCCTCTAAGCCCCAATGTGTCTCAGCTTAGCAAAGGCCGTTCTGTACAAAACCCAAGCAAGGCACTTCAGTCTTTATTGATAGCTGCGTGAGTAGGACAAGTGTGGTGATGTAACAGATCTTTCTTGAATTGCATGGGCAGCATTGTTGGTCTGCACAAGCCCTGAGGCTCAGCTTGATTTCAGCAGATTCATTTAGCTTTCTCTCTTACGCAACACCATCTCAGCTTTCAAGCTGTCTCACTGATCTCAGGATCACCTTTGACTCCTTGCATGGGTGGCTAGCTACTGAACTGCACTCCCTTGATAAAAGCTTAGAGAGGAAACAACACCGCTCTAAAAAGGATCCTTCAAAATCAGAATGAGACCTGATGGCAGGAAAGCTGTTTGGCAGCAGGTTGCACTGAGAGAACAGAAAAGGCAATGATGGATAGCAGCTGTGATGAATTCCTTAATCGAGTGTGTAAGGATGTAAAAGATCACACAGACACAAACGGTGTTTGATGCATATTATCCACAGGATCAAAACAACAACAAACTTCTGACTGTAACCCTGCTAAAATGGATCACTTTCATAGTAGGTCATCACTATCGAATGAAAAATAAATAGAAATAGTTTATCTTCATCACGATTTCAGAATGAATTTCTTAGAAATACTCTCCCCAGGAAGGATCATAAAAACAATTAGTTGAAGCAAAAATAATCAAACCACTAAAATGTTTGAGGAGAAAAGCAATGACGCATTGTGCCTGTAACACTGGCTTCAGGAGACGTTTATACTCAGGTGGCGGCTCGCAGAAAAAGTGTGACACATGTGGTAATGTGTGCCGACATGTGAGCGCTTTCATAACTAATCAATGGAATATTTAAGATCAGGAAGCTATTCGCAGAAAGGACGTGATCAGATAAAGTTATGCTCAGTACATGGTCTTAAAATAAGCGAGACTGAAGGCTGATTGCTCTGAGCTGATGGTTGTGTCAGCTGGGGAATGAGGTCACATCACAAGAATGGTTCAGCTGAGAGAAACAATGTTTAGGGAAGTGGGGATCTGTTCTCACTACTCATATATACCTCTATTTCCTCAAAGAAGGATTCTCAAAAAGTTGGGGGTCTCACAAAAGACAGATTAACAACAGAAAGGTTGAATTCGGAGCAGCAGATATCGTGATATCCTGACTTTTAGTCCCTCGTTTGGGTCACACTCCAGAACTTTGAATCCTACAATTCCCATAATGCAACGTAATACCATCTTTCCTTAATGGTAAATGCCCATATCTTTCAAACCCCACATCTCAGTTTGCAACGCAGCCTTTAATGCGGAATATGAAATCTCAAGCCCAGGTCAAAATATAAATCTTATAAATGCAAAACCTGCAAAAATAAGCGTTAATCAACCACCCAAATTCAACCACCAACTTTATGCTTTATAGTAGCACAACTGTCAGAACTGAGGACTGAGACAAGGACAGAGACAAGCTCACCAAGGGAGCACTGCAGTCCGAAAGCAGCTACAGATGAGTAGAAGGATCGTTAACAGTTTTCTTTGTTGTTGAATAGGACAAAACAAGTAACTCTTCATGAAAGACATCATATCTCTCTCTCTCCCTCACTCACTCACACACACAAACACACGTCCCTCGGCACCTGAAAATAATGGATTGTGAAGCGCTTTTTCACCTCATGAAAGTAATACCTCTGAGGTCCAACCGGTCGACCAACCCGACCAGAAGGTGTCAGCCCAAGCTGCAATCCTAAATCGATGGGAATACACCTTTAAAAATGTCCCTTCAGAGCCATAGAAGATAGAAGACATTACACAACTGTCTCACGAACTGAGTGCTACTCTTTGTGACAAGTAAACTGATCCGCATGTGTACAATTGGTGGAGTGCCCCTTTAAGAAACCTTAAGCTCTTGAAACACATTATCCGGCTGACACAGCAATCTATATAACTTAAGTCAACAAGTCTATCTCAACTTATTTTCTCTCATATTTTTACTGTCTAGCACATTTATCTCAAAAGCCAAATCAAGGTCACCTCACCAAGCCATTCTCTACACTCCACAGAGCTCATTCACAGCTCCACGCTCCATTTGTCTCCTGTAAAAGAAAACAACTGCAGCAGATCTGTAACTCCCACCTGGACAGATCGTGTGATAACAAGCACACAACAGGTGATATTTGGCTCAATCTATCAGCCGGTGCAGCATTAATATCAGACCCAAGTGTAAGCATCATTAAGAAACTAAATGCACCCTTCTGTTGAAGGAAAATATGCAAATGTGCCAGTTTGCAACACCAGACTTTGATGTGTCCGCCCATATTTCAGAGACTAAGTGTTTGCTGAAGTTCAGCCAAACTGCCGAGACAATACTGGGCCTTTGAGATATACCACGCTCTCCAGGAGTGAAGCTCTCGGGCTACAGAGGAAAGCTGATAGCCAAGTGATCCTTGAGCTTGACTGAGGGCCGAGGCTTTTCGGTTTAAACCATCAATGTGGGGATGAAGGTGATCGATGTGGGAAAACCAGAGTAGAAACAGTGGGATTTAGGGCTGCCAGCCTCATTCACAGGCACAGATTACATGACCTACGACTAAACATTAAGGGATATCTTCATTTTAATTGTAAAATGGATCCACAGAGTGGGGCTTTCCTCTGGTTTGACTGCTTAGAAAAAAAAAAAAAAAAAATCACCCCAGACATGTAATTCCCTGACATCATCCCTCCTCTTTGTGCGTCCTCTTGGGATGACCAACACACTCTTGTTCTTCAACAAGAGCTGTGTGCTGATCAGCACCACAAGGCCAGTGAACCCCAGATAGTGGCACTCTGGTGCTGGATACCAAACGGCCCATCACGAGATAGCATGGTTCTCGCTGTCAACCACACGGGGAGAAATGAGGTTAAATGGCACTATCTACACAATATGGGAGCCTCCTCTATTGTTATTAATAGTGCTGACAGCCTCTATTCTTTGGAGACAGGCTGCGTAATTCTTGGAAATGGTTATAAATAAGTACTGAGGCGTCCACAAGGATCCCCATTTATCTATTTTGCATAGTTTTGTATTGTTTTCCAAAATAGAGACAGCTGTTTTTGATGCATGATGTGTTTCATAAATGCATCTCAGTGTACCATCCAAACATACTTCAGTGGGAGTGAAAAACTGCTGTTAATAATTGTGGAGGACCTGTTTGCTCTTAATTTCTTTGATGTAATGACCCTTTAAACAGCACATAGAACTTGTTTGAGCAGACTTCAGACATTTTGAAATTCCCCCTCCAGGGAAATGTCTTTGATATTAACGACCGTGGTAACTATACAATCGAGCTAATCTTTCACCATCTTTTTCCACTGAGCTATTTGGTGAAAGTTGGAAAAGTGGAGCAGCTGTATGTAACATCACCTTTTAACCACTCGCACTGAAAAAACATTAGATGCAGAAAGGTTTCTAGTGGTGATGCATTATAGCAACAAGACTCTGTGAGGTCTATGCTGATGTTTAATGCTATACAGCATTAAACATCTGCATGCTAACATGCTGATGTTTAATACTGTATAGTTGATGTAGTTGTTGCTATTGTTGCTATGCTTCACATTTTAGCACCAAACACAAAGTACAGCTGATGCCGATAGGAATGTCAAGAGTTTTTGCAGATATAGAAGTGTTGGCAAATTGTGATTCAGAGGACCACTAAAGTCAATGAGATTCATCTTCTGGGGACCATGCATGTTAGTACCAAATTTCTTGGAAATCCTTAAAAGTCATTGAGATATTAGTCAGGACCGACAGACTGACATTGCCATACCCAGAGGTAAGATGCAAGCATGGATAAAGATCTCTTGTGCTAAGTTCACAATTCTAACAGTAAATATTTCCTGGAAAGGACCTGGTTTTGTATGCATGACTCACCTAGCAGCTGGATCCCCCTTGTGAGGCCGTAGATGTCTATGAGAGCCCACAGCGGTTCAGAGATATGTACCCCGCTGAAGAACAGCATTGGGCTGGAGTCGTCGATGCGGTAAAACACCCGGCCCTTCTTGTCCACCCAGAAGGAGATGACGTTTCCCTCGTTGGAGAGCTCCTCCGGCAGGGCTTTTGCCCAGAAGCCGCTCTGTGAAACCAGGTCGGGGCAGGCGTACTTTGGCAAAGTGTCTGGGTTGATCCTCGATGGGTCTTTGGATGTAAAACCAAGACGCAGAGCACCGCTCCAGCAGCACTGCTTTTTAGTGATCTGGAGAATACATATTTTTGATTCATGAAAATGTACTTTCTGTTGTGTAAAACACAAGGTAAAAAGACAGCCGTGCTAGAGGCTCTATGAGGCGGAATTTTGGCACATGCAGTACTTTGAGCTAAATGCTAAAATCAGCATCCTTACATGTTCCAACGCTAACATTCTGATGTATAGCAAGTATAAATAACTTGAGTTTAACCGGTGTAACTAACAATTTCAAGGTTCATTATCTTATTTTAATGTGATAGCATTTAATATGGGCTCATAAGCACCAAACACAAAGAGGATGATAAGAATGTCATTATTTTTGCAGTTATTTAGTCAAAAACCTTTTGGACAAATTCAAATTGTTACCTGATTTACGCTATATTAAACCAAAGTTTCTACATTTCATCGTGAAGGGGACTTCAATGTCTGTACCATATTTCATGGCAATTCATCCAATAGTTGCTAGATAATCCTGAGATATTTCAGTTTAGACCAACACACAGACCAACATAGCCATCCATAGTGTCAAGCTGTTAGTTTGATTCAAATTGATTTTTAGCTAACACAAGTTCTCTTGGTATGTTTATCACCTGCAAACGATTTTTTGTCTTCTTTTGAGCCTCTATTTACTTTGCATTTACCGTGCCAGATAACAGTGTTCCTCACATGGCAATGCTTGCCCTGCTCTCTCACTTTCGAGTCTTAGATGGCCCGATAGGTGAAGTGGAAACTTGATCTAAGCTGCTGCTGCTTTGGCCCACACAAGTGCAGAGAAAAGACACAAATACAAAACAGGGGACAGCAAAGATGGGGGATGAAGAGAGAGAAAGAGAGAGAGAAAGGGAGGGAGGAGAAAAATGAAAATATGCTGAGGAAATGAAAGAGTGAATGAGAGAGAAATGATTTGAACCTACTTATCACAGTCACAATTAGCGTCCTAATTAAATTTAAATTTGGTAAAACGGGCCTGACATTTAAAGAAAAAAAAAAAAAAGATAGAGTTTTTCAGTTCATTCTTCATTAGCCGTCGCATTTGTTTCCATTATGAGAACTTCCTACATTTGCGTTTTGTCACAATAGTTTCTATCAATGCCCCATTTAGAAGTCTATTGATTTCAATTATATTTTTATATAGTTACTCATGCTGGGATCTTTCAGTTGACCTCATATTGTAATTTTTCGACTGTAGCTTGTACTCTCAAAACATGGTCAGATTGAAAATATACTATTATTTGCAACTCGGACACAGCTATAGTTTTACCTTCAGTCGAACTTGTTCATACACAGCGATAGGTCTGTTGCTGAAGGTGATGGCGTTGCAGAAGCTGGCTTGTCTCTTGACGGTCCTCTGCGACATGTCCATGACGATCTGCGAGCCCTTAGTGCTGGGATGGAAGAGGAGAGGGAAGGAGGACAAACTTCCACACGGCTGGATGGGTAGGCAGCGCTTGGGTTTGTGGTGGCATCGGTGAGATGTGGCGGGAAACGGCCCGTTCAGAGAATCTATGTGGGGAAAGAAAAGTGATTGCTTGTTAAGTCTGGCCCACAGGTGGGGAGAAGAAAATACATGACTGAATGGATTCTTCTTGGGACACAATTTACAGTAAAATAGCCAGATTTTAGATTAGATTAGACTATTAGATTACACAGTCTGGACCACCACAGGCTTCATTTTATATACTGTATATTCTAACATTGGGAGGTGGACTCCTGGTGACCTGCTGTCACATGTCATTTACTCTCACATATCTCATCTGTTTCTGTGACATCCAATTAAGTCAAAATGAATTCAAATAATCTACTTGGGCTCTGTTTTCAGTTTATCAAGGTAGCACAGTGCAACCATACATCTACTGTACTGTAGACATGAAAGAACAATGTGCAAGGTAAATTACATGCAAAAGTGTCCTTGGATGGGAAAAAAAATACTCTTTGTTATTCTGCTTATTCTTTATAAGAATAAGCTGAATATTACACATCACCGTGCTTGAACACATTTGTACAACAATCAGTAGTGAGGCAGAAATGTAGGATAAAGAAAACAAAAATGAGTAGCTAAAATGTAAGGGGGGCTTCTAACTTCATCTCCAACAGCTGAATTATCGCTGCAGAAAGCAAACTTCAAGATGTTACAGGAGTTCTCGATGCGTGTATGTTCAGCTGGCTGTATATTCAAGGCTACTCTTAAAATGGCGAGGCATGGCTGTTGCATATTTCCAGTTGTGGCTCATGTTTTAAAGGGTGTATATTAATCACAGTATTTTTGCCTGCGGGTCAACTACACACTACCTGCCTTATCAGAACGGGGGGGGGGGGGGGGGAGAAAATCACGATTTGTAATTGAGGTTTTGGGACATTTATCATGTTCTTCCTGGCCAGAAAGTAGCGAAATCAGAGCTGACTCAGATGGGAACCCTTGACTCATAGCGTGCAGCAGAGCTTTTCCCGTGTGAAAATGCGAGAATGATGACTGATCCCACTTAAGAGAGCAAAACATCTTCTTGGGTGTCAGAAAGAGGAGTTTGCTCAATGTCATCATGAGCCTGTTTTCACACTCACTCCCTTTCACGAGGACCAACTCTCCCTATTTGTGTTTTCACAGTTCTCTTCAAAGCACAAAACCAAGGTCACGGTGGTGTTGGTTCTCACAGACATTGGGATCTCATTAAATGTAAGGCAGGATTATTCAGACTTGATGGATGACATGGTCAAATATAATCTCATCAAGCGATTTGATACAGTTTTCTGTACGACAAGTCCTCTCTACAATGCCATGTGAAGCCAATGTGCCCAGATTGAAATCCAAATAAATAATTCAGGCCTCATTAACACTTCTTCGTCCTTGAGAACTGTTTGTATTTTCACACCTAAATTTGGAAGTCTGCGGAGGAGCTGCTGTGTTTGTTCGTGAGAGAAGCAGACTATATGAGCCACTGCTGAAAGACGACTATGCAGGCTTTCCTTTTGAGTGACCTTGGCGGGTCAAGAGGTTTGTATTGTACCCTGGAGACAAATCAATCAACACTGTCAGGATTGGCAGTGACTTCTGAGACCAGCTCTGATATAACGACACTATTGGATGTTAAAGTCTCTAATTTGTGGAGGTTAAACATAGGAACTAGGAGTCTTTCCCTTCACATTACAATCACAGATGCTCTGCCAAGTGTTCTGGGCTCAGTGCAGTGTATTTGTTAAGCTCTTTGCATGCTCTTGTCGCTGCAGAACAATGTTGAATTGTGCTCTGTGAACAACAGTGGTCTTAAATTAAGTCATAACAAATTCTTCAACCATATTGCATCCATGATGTCATGTCAGACGTGATGTCTTCTGGAAAACAAAACAGGACTTATTGTACTCCATTAACGACCAGGCCCAAGACTGGATAGTGCATTTCCTGTAAAGTCTGAAAACACGAGCTACACCTCACGGGCCTTGTGCTTTACCATCTAACAAAGAGTCCAATAACATCTTTCTTTTTCACTACATTGAGATCATTTCTGCTGCTTTGAAATTGAATTCTCCAGTCTGTTTTCTATTTTACATCCCAGGCATCTTGGGTTTACAGCATTCAGAGCACACAGAGGACTTTATTAACTATGAATGAAGTTGGATAAGTAAACAAATGAAACAATAAAAATAGCACATTTGATTGAATGTAAATGACAGCTGGTTAGAGCCAAAAGAGCTGATGATAGAGTGGCTGTTAAAGTGTGTTTAAAAAGTCACGCAACCTGACGGAGACATCGGGGTAAACAGTGACCAGAGCCCTGTCACGATAAAAGAGAGGTGCCATGACGAATGTCAGATGAGCCAACTTAAGGAAGGATAATGTTACTTAATGCACCACCGCACACAACCTGACTGCCTTTGCTGTCATTAATTGGATAGGACAAACATTGCAGAGACAAAGAGTGGCCCTGGCCAGTGTCACCTGGCCTCTTACGCTCTTACTCTGTGTTTTATCCCCGGGCTCGGTCTCACTAAGAGGAGCCCCAGCAGAGGCCCCAATGTGGTGTGATGTTCGTACGGCGGCTCGGTGGCCCCTCTCTCACAACACAAGCACTCACAGGAAGCATCCGACAGAGCCAAAGGGAATGTATACGTTTTTAGCTATTGCAAATATGTCAGAGCTTGTGTGGTTTCAGTACAATGATTCTTATACAACACTAGTAACGTTTTAAACGTTTTCTATCCCATATGTATTGCTGTGTATCAGTCCTGTTACTTTTACAATACTGTTCATTTTTCATCTGGTGACATGTTGTGAATTATACTCTAAAATAGAAAAGACGTCCGCCCTGATGGTCTCCCCAGTTGACTGTTTCCTTCACAGGCAGCATTGTGTTTTGTAAATGATAGAAGAGTATTATAATGGTGGACAAAGTTTGGGGCCTGTGGAAAAAAGTCCATAAATACATTTTCAGTGGACAAATCTGTTGGAAGCAATTGAAAGTTAGTTGATATCTTGGACTTTAAAGAGATTTGTTTTTAGTCTTTTTATCTTCCAGGCTAACAGGTATGTACATATTGTAATTTACTGTACTGTAAGGTTTAGGGCTGCAACTAACAATTATTTTCGTTATATATTCATCAGAGATTATTTTCTCGAATAGTGGATTGATCATTTGGTCGAGAAAACTCAAGGTGACGTCAACAGTCAGAAACCCAAAGATTGTCATCATACAGGACAAAGAAAAAAAATGTTTACGAGCTGGAACCAGGAAAGTATTAACTATCTAGTAATATTAATAATGAACCATCAGTGCTACTTGTTTTGGAGCTATTTTATAAACCAGGGGGGACACAAGCCAAACGTGAAGCACAGTTTTTGAGCTAGCGAATCCAATGTTACTTGTAATCTCAACGCTATGATCATTTAAAGACTTCACTCACACACTCAAAACATAAAAAGAATCCCCTTTCTTGTAAAATGGTTCAACCTCTGTGCCAACTTCACACTGTGATGTCTAAACTGCAGTAATACAATCATGCAGTTTGCCAAATGGGGAGAGCTGAAAGGGGCCCTGCAACATGACAGGGATGACACATTCAGGGCCCTGACTGAGCTCTTGTCAGAGGGCCAAGGATTTCTAGTAGGACGTTTTCAGGAAAAAGCAGTATTCTCATATTTAAGAAGCAAGAACTAGAGAACACTTTGCATCTTTGCTTTAAAAACCTAAGTGATTAAATAATGATAAAAATAGTTGATGACTAATTGTCTGACCATCGAGTTGTCAGAATATAAAACAAACTAATTTTGCACATTTGAATTGCATTACAAAAAATAAGTTCAGGTATACATGTTGAATGTATCACTTACAGAAAGCAAATGAAAACAGACATTATTATTGTCTTGGCAAATAACGAATGAGTAACTCAGGAAATAAAACCCTAAATTGTGTGTTGCATTAGCTAGAGAGTGTCTGCAAGAAAATCTAATGTCTGAAATGTGAAAATGGATAAATAAAAACGTCCAATGCACCACTTTGATACATGTATGATAGCCAAGTGAGTAGAAAGATACAAGGACATAAAGCTGTGACACAGTTTACTAACATGGAGGCATTCAGGAAGCCTGTGAGTGTGTCACTTTCAAACAAATAACTAACCATGTGGGAAAAGTTATGAACAAACTTCACTTTATCCTTTCTGACCTCTTTTAATTGCACTGTAGGCCAGATTCACCAGGTAGAAGAACACTATTGAGAAACATCTCCGGGATGTTTATATAACATGATAATGTACAGGGTTATCAAATTGTCATTTCCTCCAGTCGTGACTTACAGAAGGTGGAAAAACTTGGCTTCTTTCACTTCTCAGTTATTTTAGTCAACCAGGACGCCTACAGTTTTCATGCAGACAGGCTTGAGGCTGCACAAGCACGCTTCCAACTCGATTACATCGTCTCCTATACTAATATAATCACTTGCTTCATTAGTAATATAGAATCAATACCCGTGATGCCAGATGTGCTTACCGTAGAAGGTATTCCTGGTGATCTGACCTCCCATGGCTGGATGCAAGGTGCGTTCACCTTCCTCTCTTAACTACCCGGCGGGATCCACAGTATTCACACTCAGCTGTGCGTCATCAGCGGCGACATTATAACGAACACGAGGGCGTTCGCGTAAAAAAGTCCCGACAGTCGCTCAGCGGCAGGTTGTGTCCGTCCAAAGCCTCGTCGACATGAAGCAGCAGACAGCAGATCGGGCGCTCTGCGGCTCGCTCCACTCCGTGCAGAGATCACGCTGAAATTAACATACAAGGTGGTGGAGGTGGGGCTTCCCGGGACTATTAACGCTGTGACTACCAAAGAGGGGACATCTCCAGATCCGTCTACAAAGCAATGACACGCTATCATTATTGACAGGACTCAGAGGACACTTATCTTCCCCTTACATACATTTTAGACCTCTGTAGAGACTCACGAGATGACGGGTTTTCTGCCTTTATGTTTGCAGTCACCAATCAAGAATGTCCTGTCTTTCCATGGTCCCTGTAGTCTTTCCCTGAAGATGCACAGTCTCCATAAAACAGCTTTTAACACACACCTGTTGAGAGGACTAACCTATTTGCTGCCCCCACCTACTTTCACTTTCAAAATACAGGGTAGTATTTGTCTTTGTTTACATTACAATGAAACTGAGATGTTGTCAGTAGATGGGAAGATAAAAGTGCAGGGAAGGAAAATATTCTTTATTACTTTGGCAGAAACCCACTGAAACTGTTTTCAAGGACCCATCTGGAAGCTGACCGATGATACAGAGATGTCCCACTTCTGGATGTTTATTCCAACCCGCTGAAGGTTTAAAGCTTTGCTGGTTTATGTTTATCTAAAGCAGAATCTTTACTCAACATAGTGTTTTAGGATTTGAATTTAAATGCTAATAGATTATATGACTTGTGTTGGCGGTGAAGTTGTGGAGACTGTAACATTTATATTCATATCCCTTTACATCCGGGGTTTCTTTGATGACTAAGTGCCAATTTAGTGATCGAGCAAATTATTCAGGGACAATGCACAAATAAAACGAAATATACAATATAACCTCATGATGAGTGTTTACTTAACATTGAGATGCCAGAATGCACCGAATCCACCTCTTTGCAGATATTTGCAGAGGCTACTAAGAAGGGGAGGTATTGAAATGGTTCGCGGATGCTGAAAATATAATGCATGCATTTTTATGTCACGCTAATGGGCCGCACAACATGTTTCTGAGGACCACCATTGGCCCGCGGGCCGCAGTTTGAGAAACTATGATTTACATTATGTGCAACATTTGAAAAGTTCAAATTTTAGAGGTTGGCTAAATTAAATCTGACTTAAATGAGTTTACCTCTAAAACAGATGCACTTCCTCTTTTCTTTTAAAGTAAAGGAGCAACTTGTTCGGGCTCCAGAGGTTCAGAGTTGGCTCGATGGCCCTCGTTCCCATCGGGCACCTCTTAGGATCTGCCTTGTCGCTTTAGTGTTTACATAACGTGTGTCAGCAGCCAGGCCTGTGAGACACTGTATTGGCTCAGTAGCATGAGCTATATTTTCATGTTGTTTATACAAACTGATTACGGTTTACGTCTGTAAGCAATTTGCAATGAGGGTTAAGCCATACAAGTGGGTTTGGTGTATGGGGGGGGGGTGTCTATTCAGCATATTACATAGTGATTATCTATGAAAAGTTGACAAACTGATTTCATTCGTCACCGGAAATTGAGATGAACCAAAAATGTCAAAGCAAAAAGTGTGAACAGAACACTTAGGAATTTATGGCGTGGACCCTGTAGCTATCACAGTCATGCTTAACGGAGTTTGACATGCCACCTGATCGCGGGGCTCTCAAAATCTGATTGGCTTTTCTGTAATACAAGGAGAAGGGTTGTTCACCGTGAAATAATAAAAGATGACCTACAGTAATATCAAAGCAGCATGCCACTAATCATGCACTGAGGAATGTAGCCAAATATCTGGCAATAGTAAAAAATCAATTGCAAAACACAAAAAGTATTTTTGTCTGAATGCAGCCTTGTATTGTGTCAAACCAGAAGACATGCTGTCATCACATTGCTAAAGGGTATGTAGATACTTCCTAGTGCATTCATTTTTACAGTGACGTATCATTTTAAATCTTTTTGTGGTAAATTTGGTCATTCATTTTGCATCTCTTTGTAGGAGTTTTGCTTTCTCGTTGGTTCTTTGAGCCGTATTGCACTCAGTTTGCATCTCTTTCTGGTTGTTTTGGGTCTTATTCTGGTCGTTTTAAGTCTCTTTCTGGATGTTTTGTGTGTTTTTGGTGTTATTTTACGCCTCTTTTTTGTATATTTAGCATCTCTTCTTTGAAAATTTGCATCTCTTTTATCACTTTGTGCATTTTTGGTTTCAGTTTGCATCTCTTTGTGGTAGTTTTGTGTCTTTCTGTGGTCATTTTGTATCTCTTTGTAGTCGTTTTGTGTCTTTTTGCATCTCTTCCTGGTCGTTTTCTTCTCCTTGTAGTAATTCTATTGACTTTCTATCATGAAATGTTTACTTTCTGGGCACAGGCCCAAGAGGTTGGGGGGGCCGCTGGGCTTGTGCCGATTAGGCCATTTCAGTAATCGATCCACACATGAAAGTCACAGAATTTGCTGTTATTCAAATACCATTATATTCTCATCACCTTTTAGAAGTATTATTATTACCTAGGATCTTTGTTAAATAGCTTTGCACCTTTCGCTCAGAATTGAATATACACTTTATGCCCTGACAGAACAGACTGACACCTCCTCCCACAATAGATTATTTGTAGATGGGCGCCTGGCAGGCAGCAGCTGCCTGGTGGGGTGTGCTGGCGTGGGGCCTCCGCGGACATCTTGACAACCTTGTTCGAGGCAGCCGTGTGCACGCTTGCTCTCTTCTGGGATGATGATGTTGGAACAAAAACACCATTCAACTCAGAGCTTGGCCCCTCGCCCTGCAGCCATATGCAAAACATTACAAAGCAACACAAGATCATCATATGATCCTCACCAGGCAGGCGTCAGCAGAAAAGGAACTGCACCCGGCAGGCATGTATCAAAGGTGAAATCAAGTTGTCACATAGCATGTAAAAGTGACATCGGCATCAGGAAGACACCAGGGGAAAGGTTATCGATCATGAGATTGTCATCAGGCAAAGTTTAGCTGGAAGGGAATCACACTCAACATTCATTTAGAATTACAGAATCCATTGTATTTATTGGCAAAGTATGCTGTCAGAAAGAATTTTGACTTTTCTTACTTTCTCACTTTGATAGAGAGTTGTCCAGAGGCTTCAGCTGTTTTTGAGCAAATGGATGTAGATCTAACAAGAAGAACATAAAAGCATTATGAGCTTGGTTAGGATTGTATTTGGCCTGGCGTTCAGCGGTGTGCAGTGATCCAGAGACTGTGGTACTGAAGGATCATCATTATGATGTGTTTGAAGAAGGACTAGGAATTGACTCCCTAAGAAGTCCTGTATCCTGTAAGATAAAATAGTGCAACATTTAGTCATCTCTTTAAACATTCACCGTATAGCCCGTCATCCACACCGGTGTTGCTTTGCCTTCCTCTAAGGGTAATTGCTGTTGACGTGTAATCAAGATGGATAAACGCACCCAACAGCACAACTTGACACACTGACTCCTGGGTCAGGACGAATGTTTTCCATGTAGGGTAACCGAGTGGCAGGACCACAGGGAAGATGAATGTAGTGCTGTCAAAATACTTACAGCGACTATATTTGATTGGTAACACTATTTTTAGTTATACTGTGCTTTACTGGGTACGTGTCTGCAGAAGTTACGGGACATTTCTTCATGGCAAACTTTATATGACTGGCAAAGATGGAATTATTTGGTATATTATTTTTGGAAATAAATACATTTGGAATTTATTGTTGATCAATCTTTGTACTGTCAACGTACACTTGCACCACTCGCATGTACGGTTTTATTGTTGCAATTCCGTTTTGGTTGGATTAAATCTGTTTAAGACACAGATCTGAAGACTGAGACGTGACTTGGACTTGACTGCAACTCAAGACTTGGCTCGACTTGACACCTAAAGCACATTCAACATTTGCATCTCAAATCATTTTGGCCAGGTATAATTGCCTCTGCTTATCATCATTTGCTATACTATAAAATAAATGTATCATTATCTTCTCACCCACACGTTAAATCAAAATTCTGGTGACATATAAAATAACTGATACATGGATGCTGATTTAGCCCCCACAGCTCCATCGCAGCCTTTTCCCAGACAGCTGACATTAAAAGAGCCGTTCTTTTACAGCCACAATCCTGAATAAAATAAACATCACATTTCTCAAACTAACTCATGGACCATAATAATCAGGTGTTTTTAGCCAAACAATTGCAATGCGGGTCCAGTCATTATCCCCTCTATTTTCCTCTATGAGTGTGCTTTGTTGTAAATAAAAGACAGTCCCACCATGTCGCCAGAGCACCGTTAGGGAGGAATATAATGAGGTATTCAGGGAGATTTGACCAACGTTTTATGTTGGTTTTCTTTTCTTTCTGTCTGAATAGATGGTTCCAATAACATCAGGAGATTGGGGGATGACAGCGGCTGATTCGTCTGCGGCTGTCAGTCAAAAGTTGACTGGAGTTGTGACTGGCATGGGGTGAGCAGAAAATGACAGATTTCATCCTGAAAAAATCCAAATTTTTCTTTAGTTGACTTTGAACATGGCAGTTTTTAAATATATGTAGGTCTACATACAGTAGGCTATATATTATAAAGTTCTGTATTGCACTGTTTTTGTGCTCAGAGCAAGTCCCTAACTATACTATACTATACACCAAAGACAGAGAGTAGGAGGCTAACTTACAGAAGTTGATACAAAAAGGGTTTGAAGGCTGTTTTTGAACAATCTGTTTTTCAGATATAAGCGGTGTAAAACCTTGGTGTTGTGCTTTTTAAAGCTGAGTATTAATCATTGTCATGGACCTTACATGAAATAAAATAAAAAAACATTTAAATATGCACTCTATGTTTTGGGAAAACGCAATATATACTAATTTCATTTAATATGTTAATCTTAAATGCAAACATAGGATTTAAAGATTATGTTAACTTAATCGCATAAAATCACATGACTTCCACGAGAGTCTGAGGCTGCGTAGCACGCAGTTAGCCTCCTACTATAGGCTAGATAGCTCTAGCTAAGGCTGTCTCGCTAGTCGTAGCAAGCCAGAGTGTAGTTTTTACCTCTCTTTGTTTACTAGTTCTTCAAAATCTGTAAATGCTGCCCACGAAAATTACACATATCTGGCACAATACTTTTCAATGGTTGGGTGACATGTCAAATAATCAGATTCTGTTCTTAACTTTGACCAAATATTTAGTTTTTGCATTT